CCTGTCCCCCCGCCCTTTATAAAGTCACTTTACTGCCCATCATACGTCACTTTACTTCACTACTGTCACCTTACATTGTGTGCACCATGTGCACTTGTATATTGTAAATAGTAACTGTAACTCTATTTTAAATTTAAATTTATTCTTTAGAAGTGTTTTTTATTCTTATTTGTATTATCTCTTTTTGACTGTTGCACTGAGCCAAAGCAATTTCCTAGTCTGTGACCTCCTGTTACTTACGTGGCAATAAAAATGATTCTGATTCTGATTCTGATTAACCAATCGAGTGATGCCAAGGGCTGTCAATCATCTGATGCTCGTACCTGCGCATGCTCAGAACCTCCGAATCAAGCCTCCATTAGGCTCTGGAACTACATGAAAACTGAACAAAGAATTCTGAATATCCGCGGCCATATTAGTCCTTTCAGAGGCGCTGTTTGTTCACTTCTCAGATGGTTATAATGATGCAGCGCTCACTTAGTGCAATGGATCTTTTATACCTGCTGCCTTTAATGGCACTTTAATGACCAAAAAAAGGAAAAGGGCTGTTGAGATATTATTCAACCTTAATCAGACATTAGGCCCCTCTGCTGCTGTGGAGAAGAGCTGTGGCTTATTATTACTATTGTGAGCTTTTTAGAATTATCATTTTCTTTATTTATTTATTTATTTTCAGCTGCTTCTAGACTCCTGAATTTTTCCAACGGGGATCAGTAAAGACAAGTATAGACATTTGGTCTAAATCCTGAACACTTTTCACAATCTGGTGAACCATTTCAGTCTTACATCATTCAGAACTGTTTAGCCTCCGAGTTAGATTTGGATACATCTTGACCGCCATCTAGCCAACTGTATTTTTTGTTGTTTTATAGAAAATCTCCTTTCTCTGATGGTTTCGGGGAATTACATACTGAAATAATAATAGTTTTCCGTCTTATATTTATCATTATTTTTATTGTAATTTGAAAACTGTGAAACAATGTTTTTGAATTCAGATCAGATTTTGATACTTTTGACAACAATTAAATTAGCATTTTCAGTTTGGTTGCATCGAGAGAAAGTGTTGTCAATCAGGTCCTTGACGGTTGCATGTATTAGTTCTGTTGTACGAGCCACGAACTTGGTTTGTGGTGGAATCAGTTCTTCTGTTCTTCCTCCCAGCAGTGTGTGCGCGTGCGTGCGTGTGTGTGTGTTTGTGTGCACGTGTGTGTGCGTGTGTGCGTGCGTGTGTTGGATTTTGTGTTTGTGCACAGACAGATGTTGCAGGCAATCACCACAACCTGATGAGACTCGGTCCTCATAGACCTGGTCTAAAGACCCTTTTGAGTGATTTGGCTCCGGTAAAAAACCACCAAGATGTTCTTCTGTGACCATTCCTCTCAAACTGTACTTCTGTATACTCTAGTACTACTAATCATGCTCTTTGAAAGAGGGGTATTTGTACTTGTACTACTTGTAAAGAGATCCACAAGAAGCCTGTGTTCCAACATGTCAAAGATAGAATGATGTTTGAAGACCTTTTGCTAGTGAGAAGTTTTGTTCATAGGGAGCAGGATCACCAATATCTGTAAATGTGCATGAATGTCCAGAGGTGCTATATAATTAAAGAGTACTTACATACTTTGATGCATGACATCATTGCAGACAATTGTCAACAACTACAACAACTACCATTTCTTACCTGTGAGGATTATCCTGACAACAAATGTGATTCATTCTCAAAAACAATCAAGATTTTTTTTTTTCAAATGGAGGTAATCCACAAATGAATCAACCCTGAGCAGTTGTTCATTCCTCAAAACCTTCGTCAGAACTCTGGCTCGCTCGGCTCTGTCTCGCCTCTGCGGGGAAATGAGCAGCTTCATTGCAAACTCATTAGTGCGACGTGTTCGCCGAAGGACTGGGACGTGTTTGGTTGTGTGCGTGGTGATGGATGGAGCGTTCTCTGCGTCTCTCTTCACACAGCAGCCCATCTGGCCTTTCTCCTTCTCACATCACTTTAGACTGGGACAGCTCCCAGCATTAGGGATCTGAGTGTCGGAGGAGGCAACAAGTCAAGAGACAAAGTATTCTAGTTGCACTAATTCAATATTTTTCCCTCATGCCTGAAATAAAATGTTTTCAAATGCAGAAAACTATGACATCGTGGACGGACAAAACAAAAACTATATCAGAGCAGCAGCATGAGACCGTTACTTATAAATGTTATATTTTGTTCAACCTTTTGGCGCCAGTTGTGTTAAATTTGAAACAGACAAGACAAAAGCTGGAACCCTGAAACTATGAGCATCAATAACAGAAATACATTCTATAAACCCCCTCGCCAAGAATATTTAGGGTAACTCCTCCCCCTCAGGACCACAATACATTCATCTTGGGTTAGGGTTAGGGTTAGGGTTAGGGTTAGGGTTAATAATATCTTGTTTAATAATATCTTCAGTTGGAAATATATGGCGGAAGGTGAAACAGTGATATCTGCCTTCCCTGTCCCCATGCTACAGCAAAAGAGAGAAGTAGAATTATCTTTCCATCCATCCATTTTTTTCCCATTTGTCCATTTCTGGGTTGGGGCGGGGCTGGCCACCCAATAACATAGCACTAGTTCCTCACTGCTCCTCCTGCAGGTGGTGAGTCCACTGGAGGATGGCTGCTCTGTTGGAGAAGGTGAAGAAGGTGTTGCGACGGGCTCGAACCCACGACCTTCAGGCTCACAGGCCAATGCTATAGCAATGTCGCCCCATGATGGAATTAGAAAATCACCAGCTTCAACCACAGTCATGCGATTGTATTTAACATGTAAAATAAATTCACCTGAGAATTTACCAAAGGAAAGCAAGGAAGTAGGAACTTTAGACAGAAAGAGTGGAGTTATATTTTTGTCCCAGAAGAGCCTGCGCTAGCTTTAGTTAATCAGCGGCGGGTTTACCTCAAGTCTCACCAGGCCCCAAAGGAGTACCTAGCATGGAGGAAGGATTTGGTTGGGCCCTGTGAGTGGTCCTGTAGGGGAAGTTCCTGCAGTGGAGACAGGCACCGGCGTAGCCTGGCCTTATCCATCCGTACACTCCGCTCAATCATCATTTCATTGCATGTAACGTCTGGGTCTGGTCCCTGTGTTAGCGAATACAATCGGTTCAATTCCCTCCGACCAATCAGCGAGCGCGGGAAGCCGGTTGTAGTTTGGCAACGGTGAAGAATGCGATAGTAAAGTATTCCGGTCTGGTTCTATAAAGAAATTAAAGCTGGAGCAAGAGGAATATTTAGCAAATGTAATCGCTGGAAAACATTGTGGCGCTACTTCCCAAGGGCTCCGTTAGCGGCAAAGGAGATGGCTAAGCTAAATGCTAATGACTCACTCGGGCGCACTACATACGTCACGGTAAACTCAGATCCAATCGTTTCAATCTGCAAAAGGAGTTAGCCCCTCCCACCTGTTCACGGAGTCAATGGCCCACCTCCAGACCTTAGTACGTAATGTAATTTGTACTATGGTGTGGTACGACGACAGTAGTACCACAGTAGTAGTAGTGTGGAGGCGACAGTAGCTCAGTTGGTAGAGCATTGGCCTTAAGGCCAGAAGGTTGTGGGTTCAATTCCCACCTCTGCACCTTCTCCACCGACTCCCACTGATGACTGCTGTCGTTGTGTCCTTGGGCAAGACACTTAACCCCACTTTGCCCAAAGCCCCCACTGAAAGATCAAGGCTATGCTCACAGTCAGAGAGCAGCCGTCCTCCTGTGGACTCACCACCTGCAGAGGGTCAGTGAGGGGCTGGTGCTATGAGACTTGGGTGGCATCTCTGACTGCCACCCCCCTGACCCAGAAATGGATTAAAGGGAAGAAAATGGATGGATGGATGGGTGTGGTACGACCAGGCTAGCACCAACTGGGCTAGAAAATGCTGCAGTTGGAGTACGGGGTCGAAACACTGAAAACTTGGTCCTGATGTCTTTTTTTGAAACTTCTTAAATGAGTGATGCATCACAGAGCCAGATTCAAAAACATCTGCACCGAGCTTTCAGCGTAGAGACGTTTCAACGAACAGATGTCTCTCTATTTCTAATTATTTTCCAATTCTAACTTTGCCAAAAGTGCCGAGAAAGCCAAACATTTACAACCGCATTGATTAAAATAAAAAAATAACACTGTTCACAGGAATATAGCAAAAGGAAGAATGTCCCTGAGCATCAGCCTCCTGAGGCACTGAGGCACTGAGGTGAGAGCTGTGGTTAGAGCACACCTCTGTAACTAAGTAAGTCATCTTTATTTATGTAGCGCCTTTCACAGACCAGAGTCACAAAGCACTTTACATTTGTTGTGGGCATTTGTCTCTTTCTTCACACAGAGATGGGAGCGGGGTCATCATCAGGAGGTACAGGTTCTAAGGGTAAGGGAAACTGGATTACTGGGATGAAACTCACGCAGACAGACTGTAGGGAGCTGACATGTGCTTTCTGTGTCTGCCATAGAATACACTCCAATTCAATTCAACTTTATTCCGGACTCATAGTCCAATAAAATAAAATAAAAATAAAGGACAAGACAAACAATTAAAATGGAATTTTAAAAAGACAGTCATGCCAATGTCTCCACAAGTCAGATTGATACCGTGTCGCACTCCATTTTATATTCGTGAGGGACACTATTATTTCATTTTCAGACGTGTTCAATCGACACATAAAGCTGTACATCAAAGTTCGTAGCACGGCCTGTAAAGTGTTCACTCTGGCATTAACAAACATTTCTGTGGCACTTGACCATCTCGGCTTTTTCAAAAGCACACGCAAAGCATCATTATAGGCCACCTGGAGCCCGTCCCGTTAATAAACGCAACGGGAACGAGATGAATCTTAGGAATAACCAGAGTGAAGCAGACATCCAGTCCCACAGACATAGAATGGTGTCCAGTCTTGAATTTTAAAATGTTATTATTGATTTAGAAAAGTCCTATTATTATGGTCAGCAGTGTTGGGAAAGTTACTCAAAGATTATTCTTATACATTTTAGGAGTAGTCCAAAGACTCTGTTTCAAACCAATCTTTTCTGAATCCTGAAGCGTGTTGGAAGAGAAAGATGAGGTGAGAAGATCCATCTGACAGGGCCAAAGACAGACTCCATTCTCACCTCTTTCACCGTCCACATCCCGCTGGTCCCCGAGCCTTGTGTTGCAGAGGTACCATGTAGCACCAGAAGCACCATCAAGGAGTTTGATTATAGGATTTCGTGTTAGAATTGAACAATTCCGTTGCGTCTTTGTTATCTGACACATTCGTTTTTATTCCTACGTTTAAACAAAGCTTAAGTGCGTCGCTTGAGGACATCTTCATAGTGATGACTATTACATATTGGGTTGTTTGATTAAAAATACTCTCTAAACACATGTTCATTTCATTCTGCATTCATTCTAGAATTATCTGAGTCATAAAAACCCCTCTCGAATTATTTGAGTTTACTAAAATATTTGAAAACTGTTTTAAGCATTCCTTGATGACACTAACAGATGTATATTGGTCATCAAGCCCCACATCCTGTATCTCATTTTAACGTTTATTTTCTCATCTTCATTTATACACAAGTTCAGGCAATATCAGACTTTACACTAACACGAAAGCTTACTGTGGGCACAGAATAAAACCTTGTGTCATGTGGTGAGATGGGGGACTCAAAATGCTCAACTCAAGACTCAAACATATATAAATGATTTAATAATGAAAAAACAAAAATCCAAAAACGAGACCAGGAACAAAGGCACGAACATGAACAATACAATGGACCAGCAACAAGAGGAGAGGAGCACATGGTACACAGACACAGACACAGGTGAAACACAGCAGGGCGGGGCACACAGGACAGGAAGTACAACAGAGAACAATGTCAAAATAAAACAAAAATAAAACATAAAACCCACACCATGACGCCTTGTTCATCACATTTCTTACATGTTTATCTGCATCTAGAAAGTTGAAGTAATCCATGCTTGCTATGGCTCATTCATTCTGTAAATATGTCCATGGAAGAAACAATATCCACTTCGAAATATTGTCCATTCTTGAGATCCATCCATCCATCCATCTTCTTCCCCTTAATCCATTTCTGGGTCGGGGGGGTGGCCAGAGATGCCACTGGGTGGCATCTCTGGAGCTGGGTGGTCTAAAGTAGTTTTGTGAATGTATTGGTGCATCATTTGAGACTTTGAGCTCAAAAACATGACTACCCTTGAAACTTATTTTCAATGCTCCGGACAAAGGCATGTCAGACTATTTCAATAAACCCCCAGTGTGTCTTTTAACGCCATAAAAATCCCATTTATCCGACTCAGGCCTCAGACCGCACACCGCCCAATGACACGCTCTGGATGAAGATATGCTAATGCTAACATGTTTGGCACTAACCTACTTAGTCCCCCTCCGTGTTCAATTAACCTCCTGACTTCTGCCGTCTAAATTGGTCCATAGCAGATGAACTCATTTGATTAGAGCTATTTATCTTCTCAGCCAGAGGTGGTTAGCCAGGCACTGGAGAAAAGTAGGGCAAAGTTGTGAAAGGACGCTACAGCGCTGTTTTACTCGTCAGTGTGTGTACAACAGTCCACTGTCTGATTTTGAGGTTGACGTCGGGAGAAATGTTTAGCTTGGGTACCTCTTTTTTCCCCATAAATGAAAGAGTCTTGTAAAAGTAAAACATTGCATTTAACTCACTATTTTATGCTTTGGGCTGGGAGCTGATTGCTTGAGTGAAGGTGGTTCTCTTTTTCAGTCAAAAATATGATCTAAAGCTGTAGCCGCGGCCATGAAACATGAATGTGAAAGATAGCCATAGAACTAGGGCTGTCAAAGGATTAACATTTTTAATTGAGTTAATTACAGCTTTAAAATTAATTGATCGTATTTAATCGCATATTGAACTACCGGCAAAATTATGTGATATTTTTCTGTGAATGGTTGTTTGAATGAAAAGATAGACATAGTGTGAGATTTCATAACACTTTGAAGCAACTTTTTATTATTTTTTCCATTAACATTCTGTCTTTCTGTAGTCGACTGTGTTTTTTCAGCTCCACATATTCCACCTTCTTTTTCTCTATCTCATAAAAATTAGATACCCCAGCTTTAATTTAGCGAGTTTAGTTGGGCTTCAGGAGGAGACACGGACACTCCCCGGGCTCCATGTATGGTCTTGGATACATAGTCCTGTGGTGTGTATGGTCTGGGATACATAGTCCTGTGGTGTGTATGGTCTTGGATACATAGTCCTGTGGTGTGTATGGTCTTGGATACATAGTCCTGTGGTGTGTATGGTCTTGGATACATAGTCCTGTGGTGTGTATGGTCTTGGATACATAGTCCTGTGGTGTGTATGGTCTTGGATACATAGTCCTGTGGTGTGTATGGTCTTGGATACATAGTCCTGTGGTGTATATGGTCTTGGATACATAGTCCTGTGGTGTGTATGGTCTTGGATACATAGTCCTGTTGTGTGTATGGTCTTGGATACATAGTCCTGTTGTGTGTATGGTCTTGGATACATAGTCCTGTGGTGTGTATGGTCTTGGATACATAGTCCTGTGGTGTGTATGGTCTTGGATACATAGTCCTGTGGTGTGTATGGTCTTGGATACATAGTCCTGTGGTGTGTATGGTCTTGGATACATAGTCCTGTGGTGTGTATGGTCTTGGATACATAGTCCTGTGGTGTGTATGGTCATTGATACATAGTCCTGTGGTGTGTATGGTCTTGGATACATAGTCCTGTGGTGTGTATGGTCTTGGATACATAGTCCTGTGGTGTGTATGGTCTTGGATACATAGTCCTGTGGTGTGTATGGTCTTTGATACATAGTCCTGTTGTGTGTATGGTCTGATACATAGTCCTGTTGTGTGTATGGTCTTGGATACATAGTCCTGTGGTGTGTATGGTCTTGGATACATAGTCCTGTTGTGTGTATGGTCTTGGATACATAGTCCTGTGGTGTGTATGGTCTTGGATACATAGTCCTGTGGTGTGTATGGTCTTGGATACATAGTCCTGTGGTGTGTATGGTCTTGGATACATAGTCCTGTGGTGTGTATGGTCTTGGATACATAGTCCTGTGGTGTTTATGGTCTTGGATACATAGTCCTGTGGTGTGTATGGTCTGATACATAGTCCTGTTGTGTGTATGGTCTTGGATACATAGTCCTGTGGTGTGTATGGTCTTGGATACATAGTCCTGTGATGTGTATGGTCTTGGATACATAGTCCTGTTGTGTGTATGGTCTTGGATACATAGTCCTGTGGTGTGTATGGTCTTGGATACATAGTCCTGTTGTGTGTATGGTCTTGGATACATAGTCCTGTGGTGTGTATGGTCTTGGATACATAGTCCTGTGGTGTGTATGGTCTTGGATACATAGTCCTGTGGTGTGTATGGTCTTTGATACATAGTCCTGTGGTGTGTATGGTCTCCGGGGCTCCAGCTCTGTCCCTGTCCCATTGTCTCCGGGGCTCCAGCTCTGTCCCTGTCCCATTGTCTCCGGGGCTCCAGCTCTGTCCCTGTCCCATTGTCTCCGGGGCTCCAGCTCTGTCCCTGTCCCATTGTCTCCGGGGCTCCAGCTCTGTCCCTGTCCCATTGTCTCCGGGGCTCCAGCTCTGTCCCTGTCCCATTGTCTCCGGGGCTCCAGCTCTGTCCCTGTCCCATTGTCTCCGGGGCTCCAGCTCTGTCCAGGGACAGTGATAGGAGCCATGCTGGGTATTGACACGCAGAGAGGAGGCTTATCTGGGGCCAGCAGCCGTGCACTTACGCTGTGTGAGAAGGGACAGAAAGAAATGTATAAGACAGCAGCAAAATATTTAAAGATGAAGTATTTTGCATTATTCCCAAGGATGACATGTGATTTATATTTTGTTACATTGTCATCATGATTTCCTAAGAATGCATCTGCCTGAGGACCGTGATACAATAGAATACAATTTATTCTAGTATAGCCCTAGGTCACCACAGAAGTCATCTCAGAGGACTTAACAAAACCATTGAAATCACCAACACAGGTCAGAGAATCAACAGTTAAAACACATGAAGAATATAAAGCACACACAGAAGAAAATGTCCATACATGTTGTAGAATGCTAAAGTGTCCTGATCATCACCAATCCTTTCTGTTGGACACTAACTGTCCAACAAGACCCTCCTGCATCGACAAGGAAAAACTCTTAAAAAACCCAGTGGGAAAAAGTGAGAAACCTTGGGGAGAACTAGGGAAACCCACAGGGAGGGAGACCCATATGAGAAAGGGATCCGCTCCTCCTGACGGACAGGCTAATGATCCAGGACCTAAGCTAGCTACAGAACGTGGACCAGTGGACGCTGAACGTGGACAGGTCCGGTGCAGGACCGAAGCACTCCCAGGCGGGTCGGGCGGGGCAGTCCGCAGGTGTAGATGGAAGAGGCCAGGCTCAGAGATCCTGTCATCGTACCATGAAACAGACAATGGGACAACGGGTGAATAGCAATGAACAAACTACAGTCAAAATCCTAAAAATGCTAAACAGATAAAGTAGGAAGGAGGAGAGGATAGTGCAGTTGCCATACTTCTCCAGCTACAGTCCAGTGATATGACCATGGACTGTAGAAAGGAGAGGACAGAGGCTGTGTTCTCCTCTGTTCTCGTCCTCTGATGAAGTCAGGGACGCCTAGGGGCCACTGAGCATTATTAGTCTTGACTTTAGTCTGTTACCACTGATTTTAAGTGAACAATATTTTGTCATATTCACATTTCCATAAAGAAAGGCTAACTGGACTAATGCTAGTGCTAATGTGCACCCAGGTCCTCTTCTAAACTTTCAACACGGCCTTAAAAGATATAAACCTGACACAATAATGAACCATTAAAACACCCACATAGCTTTCCAATTTTCACTTACATTTTTGAAACATCTTAATGTAAAAACAGAAAATGTCACACTGTTATGTTGGCCTTGCGTTTAATAGCACAGTTTTTCACTCCCACGGAATCATTAGTCACAATTGGAACGCATTAGCCAGAGCCTCAGCACAGACAAACGTCCACAAAGCCAGTGACGTTTTATTGATTGACATTCTGCGGACGGAGCGAGAGAAGTTTACAAATTCTTCTTGAATAACACCCACATGTACATCATCGTCAATGTGTCATTTAGGATCTATTCTTTCTGCAATTGCTGGCTTTACTTTTACTTAATTCATCATCAAATCAATATCAGATACGTTACAAATAAAAGTCACAAAACAGTTATTGAAATCTTGTTATAGTGTTTGTTTAATTGATTAAAAAAACATATTCTATGAAAATCTATCTAAAATGTTTATTAAAGTGTCTGAGATTCTGGTAAATTTGTCATTAGTTTGACTGTTTATTTTCCAGTGTTATTATTGCCCCACCAACAGGGGTATTGTAATAATCTCTGTGTGTGTCTGTGACAGATTTGCACAACTGATTATGTTTTAGAGTTTCTCTGTTGTGTATATTTACCACCGTTTCATTTTAAAGCAGAGATTCTTTTTTGTAGCCTCCAAACTAGGGCTGAAACAACTAATCGATTAATCGACGACTAATCGATTATTGAAATAGTCGACAACTATTTTAGTAATCGATTAGTCGTTTTCTGGTTCACACGGACTCAAACAGAGCAAACATGACATGAAAATGTAGTATTTTTGATTAAAACCGACTTTGTTTTTATAATTTCATGAACATCTGTCTGTCTCATCCAATCAGAGCAGGATTAGCACAAAGAGCCTGTTACAAACATTTACTTTAAGTTTACGCCTCAATACGTCCTCGAGTGTTGCCACTTTAGCTTTTTGTGATGAAAAAATATTTTTTTTCTACACAATTCACAGCCAAGAAATTACTCGATTAATCGTAAAAATAATTGATATATTAATCGATTACAAAATAATCGTTAGTTGCAGCTCTACTCCAAACAGCTTTAGCAAACAACAGCAGGGCGCGTTTCGGCGCTGCGTGTGATGTAAGCTGCATAACTTGTTTTTTTATGGACGCTGTCGCAAATTTAATTAAAATATATTATATTTGTGTCAGATTCTTGTCCAAACACAATTTAACAAGTATTGTGTATATTGAATCAAAACAATTCCAACACAAATATTTAGAAGCTATTTATTTATCCCACTTTTTATTGACATTTTTTTTGTGGATATTATTTTGCGACCCCCACTTTGGGAACCACTTCGTCAGAGTCCATAGAAGCTCCGTAAAAGACCAAAGCAAAGCAAGCATTAGTGGAAATGAAACGCATGACCCACAAGTATTAATCACTCAAAATGATCACAATTCAACCTATACCAAGGTTAAAGAATATGTAAAGGAAAACGGCTTTATACCAACAGAACACACAAAATAAACTTCAGTCCACTTTTAGGAATGCCCAAAGGTTTATTTAATGACAGAAAATAAAATAGTTCCCAAAGGCTTTCCCGTGACTATGCTAGTAACAGTTAGGCTAACAACTTCCAAACTAGAACTCTCTGGAACTGCATGAAAACTGAACAAAGAATTCTGAACATCAGCGGTGAGTGACCCAAACATAAACTTAACCTAAATCCATAATTCCATCCTCTGCAAATGTTCCTAAAATGTGCCGGTATCTACTTCCGGGTTTTTCGGGATCGCCTTTTCTCGCATTACATCAGTGTTTTTGTCATGAAAACGTAAACGGAAAATTCTGAAAATCTCCGTGCACTTGTATTAAGAATGTATAAGTATTATGTATTCTCCGATTAACATTTAAGTGTGTTGATTGAGCGTGGCTAGCTCCAGAGTGGCCGGAACTACTTGCGGAGTTATCCACGCATCTGAAAGACAAGCAGAGAGTGCGTTGCCAAAGGGCAGCGGTCATTATTGTTTTGAGAGGTCCGTTATAGAAAATAATGACCGGTAGAACGTTTTGAAGTTACATTCAAATCAATGGTTCTACTGCTGCTGTGAGGAGCGTGTAATAAATTGATATATTCTTCAACCTTGGCCCACGGTTTTGCTCAGTTTAAAATGTTGGCCCACTTTGACTTTGACACCCCTGGTCTCAGTGGTCCTCCCCTCATGGACCAATTGATTATGTTTCTTTTAGTGTCATTTTCTTTGTTCAAACGGTTTGATTCTTTGATCTGTGTTGGTGAACTGACAACTATGTTAAGTCCTCCAAGATGCTGTGATTTAAGGGTATACAAAAATAACTCGAATTTATATCGCACTTGCCAAAACTCAATGTCGATATTGTTTCCCGATATTGTGCTGCCCTTAAAGAAATTGAAGCCATACAACAGGACTGAGAATGGAAATGAATGGCCACATTTCTTGTATAACAATGAGACTTGGGTGTCATGGATTGATCCTCTTGATGATGCTATGAACTCAGAAGTTGCCGACAAAGCATTGGTCAGTTACAGTATTGGTCAGTTACAGTATTGGTCAGTTACAGCATTGGTCAGTTACAGCATTGGTCAGTTACAGCATTGGTCAGTTACAGCATTGGTCAGTCACAGCATTGGTCAGTTACAGCATTGGTCAGTTACAGCATTGGTCAGTCACAGCATTGGTCAGTTACAGTATTGGTCAGTTACAGTATTGGTCAGTTACAGTATTGGTCAGTTACAGCATTGGTCAGTTACAGCATTGGTCAGTTACAGCATTGGTCAGTTACAGCATTGGTCAGTCACAGCATTGGTCAGTTACAGCATTGGACAGTTACAGTATTGGTCAGTTACAGTATAGGTCAGTTACAGTATTGGTCAGTTACAGTATTGGTCAGTTACAGCATTGGACAGTTACAGCATTGGTCAGTTACAGCATTGGTCAGTCACAGCATTGGTCAGTTACAGTATTGGTCAGTTACAGCATTGGTCAGTTACAGCATTGGTCAGTCACAGCATTGGTCAGTTACAGCATTGGTCAGTCACAGCATTGGTCAGTTACAGCATTGGTCAGTTACAGCATTGGTTAGTCACAGCATTGGTCAGTCACAGCATTGGTCAGTTACAGCATTGGTCAGTTACAGCATTGGTCAGTCACAGCATTGGTCAGTCACAGCATTGGTCAGTTACAGCATTGGTCAGTTACAGCACTGGTCAGTTACAGTATTGGTCAGTTACAGCATTGGTCAGTTACAGCATTGGTCAGTTACAGCATTGGTCAGTTACAGTATTGGTCAGTTACAGTATTGGTCAGTCACAGCATTGGTCAGTTACAGTATTGGTCAGTTACAGCATTGGTCAGTTACAGCATTGGTCAGTCACAGCATTGGTCAGTTACAGCATTGGTCAGTTACAGTATTGGTCAGTTACAGCATTGGTCAGTTACAGCATTGGTCAGTTACAGTATTGGTCAGTTACAGCATTGGTCAGTTACAGCATTGGTCAGTTACAGCATTGGTCAGTTACAGCATTGGTCAGTTACAGTATTGGTCAGTCACAGCATTGGTCAGTTACAGCATTGGTCAGTTACAGTATTGGTCAGTTACAGCATTGGTCAGTTACAGCATTGGTCAGTTACAGCATTGGTCAGTCACAGCATTGGTCAGTCACAGCATTGGTCAGTTACAGCATTGGTCAGTCACAGCATTGGTCAGTTACAGCATTGGTCAGTTACAGCATTGGTCAGTTACAGCATTGGTCAGTTACAGCATAGGTCAGTCAAAGCATTGGTCAGTTACAGTATTGGTCAGTTACAGCATTGGTCAGTTACAGCAT